CCCCGGCCCTGGCGGGCGGAAGCGTGGCTTCAGCCAGGTTACATCATCTCCATCGTCTCCATCGGTGCAACGCTCGGCCCGTCAGGCCGGGGGCCAGCAGAATGAACGCGGCCGATACCAACACAACGCTCAATTCTGTACCCAGCAATGCTTGCTTGGCTTGCAGCGAGGAGGCACGCTAGATGACCACTGCCCGAATGCCAAGCTCCATCGACAGGGTGGGACCAGCAACCAACACCTGATCGACGCCAAGGGTCTGGTTCGGCAGCTTAAGCAGCAACTAGATGAAAACCTCGACCGCGATTGCACCCCGATGGGAGGCTGTGGGGCATCGGGAGCGCCTTTCAAAATCACATGCACCGCGTATGGGTATACGGTCGTCGGTAAAGGAACTACGTCTTACCGGTGGAACGAGGTCAAGCGAGAGGCGGATATTTATCGTATACTTCGGCAAGTCCAAGGCCGAGCAGTCCCAGTCTTTCTCGGCACAATCGACCTGGCCATGATCTACTTCCTCGAAGGGGCTGGCCGGATCTGCCATATGCTACTTATGGCTTGGGGTGGTGAACCCATCAACAAGTTGGAGGATGTTGGGTCGATCAGGCATGAAATTTCGCGATCGCAGACAGAGATTCGCTCACTCGGGGTATTACACCAGGACCTTCGGCCGGATAATATGTTGTGGAACCCCGAGCTAGGCCGGGTTTTGATCATTGACTTTCATCGTTCGGAACTAGATGCCCGACCGACGAACAAACGAATGAAATTACACAAACAGCTCTCCTGTCGGGCAAAGGAATGCAGGCGAAAGCGACCTCGTCTGGGCTATAAATAAGATTTAACGAGAAATGCATGCCTTTGAATGAGTGTACTGTAGCAGGGCGCACGATGTGAAGATGATGAGGTTGTTCTTACTGTTGAGCATGGATCAGTGTGGGGTATAATCCCCTTATCTCGTTAGACCTTTATGGCTCAGCTACATATTTCTATTGCCCAAGCCATATCGGCGGTCGATAAGTCACGAGTGACTTTTAAGTAGCTGGAAGATGCAGCGAAGGCGAACGGCTAGCCTGAGCCATTTTAACTCCGACGTCGGCCCTCTGACCACACCCAATGCTGGTCAAATTACCTTATTACAGCAGGCAAACAGGGGCAAAGCGCAGCTGACCTGGTAATATACTCAAACTCGGGGGCATGATTAGGCGTCAGCGTTCCAGAGGGTCAAGAACGAACTCTTTTAGTGCCCATTATCGCGGCAAGTTGGCGTCCACGCAGGTAACGGGCCGGATGGGTGGTCTCAATCCACTTTGTAATGCTACGGTGCCATTTTTGTCGTGCTCGGAAACGTTCAGCGTTACAGACATCAGGCCATACCGCTGCCATTGGCTTGGAATGAGGCGGCCCAGCGTGTTGAAAGCCGCTGTGATAGCTTGCAATTCTGTGCGGACATGCCGAGACCGCCCAAGACATCCATTCCGATATCCTAGCCTAGGCTGTCGGTTAACGTGATTTGAGAGAAAGGGGAATTCTCCTTCGTGACTTTATCGAGG